GCGACGACTACCGCGCTATAAGTTATTCAAGACCTACTAGTACTTTTATTTCAAGTAAAAATGCACTCACAGAAACCCAATTTTGGTTACAACATGAAACGAAGAAATACGAAGACCCTTAATCGGACATACCATGGAATCCATGCTCCAAGTAAAATGTACGATTTAACACTTCAACGGGCTTTGCAAATAATCGACCCCCGATTACATCCGATGCTTCTCGAATAGTGACGTCATAACCTCGTTCGGCTAGTTCTAAAGCAGTAGATAGTCCGGCAAGTCCTCCGCCTAATATGACAGAACATGTGTATTATATCATAACCTAAACATCTTACCTTGTTGTCCAAACATGGGATTACTATGTTCAGGGAGAAAAAGAAAGGACGGAATGTCATAATTGCATAAATCGTTCCACTATTCGAGTCTTTGAACTGAACTAAGCTTTACATTGAATTGATATTGAATGCATAATAATGCCACCAACGACGACCTTACCAGCAACCAGAACAGTTCGTTTAATGCCATCCGGGAGTTTATCTGGATCATCAGGATTTACTGGCTCAATCACACGGGGTGACCTCGGAGAACCAAATATAATAACAGCCACCAGAATACCTAATAATTATAATAAAACGTCATTTGTACTCCTGTACATCACATGTTAATCAGTCACTTTTGACAAGTTGTTCCTCCGATAAAAATGATAAATTCACATACAGGTCTACAATGAATAAATGAAACGTTACCTCCACTGTGGTATTCCCATTATGATTCTGTGAACGATAGAGGGCGTAATTGCTAATAGGAATGCCTGTACTTGAGTGAGGTGCACCATGGGAATACCATGTCGCGTAAAAGATGTGCTACTAGTATTACTGCAGCTCGGTAGGGTAAGATAGAATAAGAATTTTGCTTGAAAGAACAAGTTTTCCGTAACCAGTCGCGACCATTACACAGGGAACAAAGCCATTACTCCATAACGCAGTGTTTATTCATTTTAGTGTAATAAGAATATCAACACCTTTCAATACACCTTTGACCTGTGGGCTACTGTGCCCTCACTGATTGACTAACACATAACCCCACATCGATATTGTGAGACTTATTACGAATACATACAATGTAAATGATTTCATCTGCAACCCTCGTCCCGTAACCGTGACATACTATGTGAAGCGACAATATATCACCGTTGACGTAATCGTGTTCTTTATTGTATATCTTGCTATGGAAGTACAGTAAAGGGCAAGGACGCTTTTAAAACAACGAATTAAGGGCGTGATTTACCAAACACGAACTGCGTGTATGGTGATTTTACTTTGATACATATTCATTTCTTTGTGTTTGTAGATGGAAGCGAGCGTTTTTTATTGAAAGGGCGCGACAACATTTTAGTGTTTCAAACAGAAATAAAGCAAGAAACGTTCACATAGATGACAAATAATGTATCAAACTGAAAATCTAGTTTAGTTGAGTGTTAGACATCATGGCATGTTTTGCTATTTTTAGCGTGCCTACAGCCTACGTGATTTCAAATATATTAACTGTCAATGCAAACAGGTGATCACATGGGAACATGGCGCGACAAATAATCTCTATTCAAATATAAAATAATCACATATGCATATCATCATGATGGAGATGCCATATCTTTAGAACACGCCCCTTTGGCTGCTATCCCAGTCTTGAGAAAAGATGTTGTGAATTTGCAGAATTGCAGAATAAATTATGGTAATAAACTATATTTCACTGTTTCCTTTACAATTGCCTAATAGCGTCAGAAATCATGTACATTGAGAGCGTTCAACTGGTAAACGGGTGAATGTCGCATTTGAAGGGCGCGGTCATCACAGAGAGTCGTTTTCGATGTTGTCCCACGGCACCACGTCGAGTATAAGAATACAACATGATACCATGATAATACTTTCTTCTACAAACAAAACTATGCGACTCCGAACTACTGTCCAAGTTATACGATGTATATTCGGTAAGTTATACACAAAACATAGTTGAACTCTGGTGACCTTGCACTTTGTTATATAATATAATTCCCTTTATCATAGTTTGTTTCAATATAAAAATGCATTGTCATAATTAATTTTGAATACAAACAAGTTTTGGGGTTGAACCAACAGTGGGAAATCAGTCTACCGAATGTCCTTTAAAGATGTAAATATCTTACAAAAACATTGGTGCCTTATTTGTTTAATTATTTTAAGGGACATCATTTCCAGCTTTATTCAAAGTAATTCAGATATTTTAGTATAAAAACAAATGCCTCATCGCAAAATAAAAGTGCTGCATTTAGACGTGAATAGATTCATAAAACATGCAAGATAACAGACAATCTTAGCTGGCTTTTGTCCAAGTATTTTGTACAGGTGTTTGTCAAAAAATAATGATTCACTGAAACAAATATGAACTGTCCCATTGTGTGACTACTGTATTATATGAAAAGTAAAAAAAAAACCTTTATGAATAGC